ACATCCGTGAGAGCTTGAGCAGAATCGCGGCTGATAAGGCAATCGTCAACGTTGTTATAGACTTCGGCCATCCACTATTGTCCAACCTCATCCAAAGATGGCAAACTGGTGTACAACCTGTCATCCAAGGAAGGAGCTGTCAAAGAAACAGATGTGGGTGTTAAAGCATGACGCTTCATTCAATACAGCCTATGCCACATCTGATAACATGGTTGCTGCAGCGGAATCAATTGTTAGTCAAACAGAAGCGACGGGCAAAATGAATATCTTATAGGACAACAGGTGTCGTCCCTCCAAATGGCACATCGAACACGCAACGCTCTCCCCAAGGTGGAACTTAAGGCACTTAAGAGCCGACAATTACCTCGTTATCGTGCCGGCGGACAAGGGGCGGTCCACTGCCGTAGTGGACACGATAGACTGCATTCGCAAAGCTCACAATTTGCTGGACTATCGCCCCATGCAAATCCAACCCTATAAAAAACGCTGACCCGCGAGATCATTACGACGCAGTTGGCAATGGAGAACTTATGTGCAACATCGCCAATCGACCGATACATGGCTAGAGCGCGAGAAACGGCCCTAGCCCGCTTCTATTGTCTCCCAAAGTTGCAGAAAGGCCGAAAACCTTTATTATTGACTACGGCTATCCATTAGTAATGTGTACACATTGTTTATTCTTCGCTTATTGCTTAATACTGTCATACTAAACCAATTGCTATAACCATTGGAATTAACCTACGCGTTACGACTTGATATTGATTCAAAGAATACAAGATACTCGAAACATTTCACGTAAGTCTAACCAGAATTGAACTCCCATTGGTTTTACCGTAACTTCGAACTTTGCCAGCCAAATACATGGAGCTATATTTACTAAGTCCACGACAAAAATGAAATACCTATTGCCAAACTAGTTGTCGTAGAAAACAAGCATGAACCAATTTGTAGGCTAGGCAGTTATGACATATGATCTCTTACCAGTCAATCATGACATATTGAAAGCAGATGCTCTTTGAAGTCTTGACCTATGGTGACATTTACGCACAAATCAACTGCTCCACTGCGTGAGCCGCGATATCGCCTGCCGCCCATGTTGATTCAAGTCACCGCAGAGTGTAGCTTGCGACAAAGTTTGACACTGTTTGCTGTTTACGACGCAGTTTCAAGACAGTTTGTCCCCCTCCTGTTGTGCGATCTACTTCGCTGGTATGCCTACGCCTAAAAGACATGCCCACGGATCGCCAGTTCGCTGGTCGAGAAAATATGTTCTAT